ATCTGTTGGAGCCACTCTCCCAGTTTGGGGGTCACAGCCCCCAATGTTCCTATTACCACAGGGACCACTTGTGCCTTCACCTTCCACATCTTTTCTAGCTCTTCTTTCAGCCCTTGGTATTTCTCAAGCTTCTCATGTTCCTTCTTCCTGATGTTGCTATCATTTAGGATTGGTACATCTGTCACTATGGCCTTCTTCTGAGGAAGGCCTGAGGCCTTCCACCACTATTTCCGGTTGGTTGGCCATTACCAGTTTGTCAGTTTGCATGTCAGTTCGTTGTTGCCTGCTTCACAGTAAAATACACATTTGGCTTTTCTGAACACAATATGTTGGATGAGATTATTCCATTATTGCTCCATTACTTTGAGAATACATGTACATTGGTGTTTATTTGGTGCTCAGTGCAGTAGAACCACTTTGTGTTGATGTACTTGTCCTACCTGCTGAAACTGTGGTGAGTTGAGTGTGCTCTGGATCTCCTCAGCACTCTGCAGTAAACTCTCTCCAGTGGGAAGGAAGGGCAGGAGCCTCTGCTGCACCTCTGCATTAGTCAGGATGGGAGCCATCATCTCTGGGGTGCAAATACTCGCGAGGTCCACTAAAGAAGAGGAAATGCAGTCCCATTGTTGTTCAGTCTTCCTTTCTCATTTTCTTTCCATCAGTTCCTCAATTCTTGTATCGGACCTGATCTTAGAGTTGCACTACCTCTGACTACCTTTAAATCCAGGTTAAAAATGTAGGCTATAAACTGCCACTTACTGGAATTATGAACCATCTTTCCTGTATTCATGCCTTGTTCTTAACTTTTTTCCTTTTAAAAGTTTCTTTTATAGGTTGTGCTATACAAATAAGATGCCTGACTTTAGCAGCAGTAAAAGTTCTATATTAGGGCCAAGCCAGGATTTATCCCTTTCAAATCATTCAACTCATGACTGTGTCAAGTTCGCCCTCACCTGCTGGTCCCTGAGCAGCTGCTGTTGCTGGAACGTTCATGGTGGCGAGGATGCTCTGAAGGTCACTGAGCTGGATGGGCTGGTGAGGGGCTGGACTTCCAACAGAGGCTGGAGCCAGCGGAGTTTGGGCTGGGGCTGAAAACCAGAAAGGTGTCAAGAGGATCTCAGATGAAAGAATGAGTAAGTTGTTAAAAAATTAAGCCATTTGAGTTTTGTATGTATGTGTGTGCGTGCACGCGCGCCTATACATATATACACACACACACACACACACACACACACACACACACACACAGTGTATATATGTACTGGATCAAATTCCTCATGTTCAACACACCTGGCCTATGAAGTGTGTGTGTGTGTGTGTGTGTGTGTGTGTGTGTGTGTGTGTGTGGAGAGAGGAAGCAAAAGAGCAGGTATGAGACAGAGGCATGACGGCTACAAAAAAAAGACAGAATATATATATGTTGAGTTTTCAGTTTAAATAAAGAGTTCAGTATTTTCATTCTGTTAATTTATTGAAGTGGCACAGTTAACAAAGGCTGTGTTAAATCACCTTTTCTACATTGTTTTTATATACGTTTACATTTGGGCCATCAAAAATGTACTTTGGCCACCAAATTTAATGACATTAGCATCTATTCCTGTCTGGTCATTGTTTATTGTTCCTGTCTCCACAAAATGCACCACAACATGCTGTTTTGTCTGTGTTAACTTTTTAGGTACATTTTACAACACACGTTGCACATTTTCATGCATTCATATGTTTCCTTAAACTAAGCGCCACTGTACTGGATCAAATTCCTTGTGTTCAACACACCTGGCCAATAAAGCCGATTCTTATACTACTGACGCTGACTTCCACATCCTCCTCCTGTTTTCCATTATTGAATTTCATAAATATTTGATTGATGTTAATTTGTCAGTGCATCACCTTTTTTTTTTGTGGACTGCTAGCCGGTCATAACTGCTCATAACTGCTAGATTTACTGACATGATATGAATAAAATTTTAACTGGGAGATTCTTACTGCTGAACTTGATCACCTGGTTTTACTAGAGACAGTTTCTCATTCAGCTGGAGTTGCTGAAGCTACAGAGACACTCAGTCCACCCTGACTGTTCAATAGTGTTACAAAGTGATGTTTTTCTTTTTTAACCTAAAAAAATATCTTTGGCTGAACACAGGCCGCTGTGTTGTGTTGAGGTCTGTTTCCCCCAGTGGCTGAAAGCGAACTCACAAACCCAACAACAGCAAGTTTTAAGCCCCTTTCAGGAATTTACTGACTACATGTAATTTTGTAGTGTTCAGACACAGAGCTGCTGTGCACAAAATTCCCAGCAAGAGTTTGTTCAAATGTAGCAGGACATAGCCTGGTATAGCCACAACCTTCACATGATATTCCATCATGTGAGGCAGAAACGCTGTTATTCCTCCGCATGGAGGGTGAGCAGTCCTTTGATTTCCACGTCAGCCTGACTGTTAATACAGAGTGAAACTTATGTATGTTGGCATTAAAAATGTCAGGTTTTAATGGCAAGCCAGCAATATCCTGATAATGGGAAACTGCATAAATACTGTGTTTCGGGAGCCTTGCAAGGTATTGGCGCTTTTAAAGCAGTGACCAAATCTGATCCATTAGCGTCTATCTAATCTAATCAAAACATTGGCTCTTAGCTGGGGGATGAATGGCATAATGACCGTGCTCGTCTTGGTACTGTACCTGGTGTGGAAGGAGCAGCTCCAGTAGGTGACACAGTTGTAACAGCAGGGGTCAGAGGAGAGGTGGTGGCCGGAGTAGAGCTCAGTCTGAGGGCTCCACCTGATGAAGGATTAGCTGCTGTTGACTGGCTACGAGAGCTGTGGATGAGGAGGGGTGGGGAACGAGAGGAGATAACACCATAAATTCAGTAATAATTTATGATATTTATACAAATACTTCATAGCTGTGTGAAGACACTTAGGATGTGAGCTAATGCTGAAGTGCATGTGGTGTCCACTCTCACCTGGATGACGAGCTACTGGTGGCTGGTCCTCCGGTACCCAGCAAGTTAGCAAGTCCTGGTCCTGCTAGAGCTCCCAGGCCTCCTTGGACAAATGTGAACAAATCAAAATCGACCATTGATCTCTGATTCTTATTTATTTGGGCTGTGACTTGAGACAAACCCCAGATGTGAGACTACTTAGGTCCACTGACATTTAATAACAATTGGACAGTAATTCTACTTCTTAGAGAGGGTTTAAGCCATTAATAAGATACTGGCACGGATATTTTAACATGGTTTTAAAATACACACTTTTGTATAATATATCAATTTGGCATTAGGTGCTGTATCCGCTTACAAACATACCCTAAATCGTTTACTGTGGATGTGACAAAGATTAAGCTAAGCTAACATCTTGCTTACGAGGGTTTCTTCCTGGACCAGGCTTTCTTCCCTTACATTACCAATGGCAAGTCTCTGTTGTCATGACTGTGTGTGAGTTGCACAAAATATTCAGTCTTCCTCACCCAGTCCACCTAGGCCTGCTGGTCCAATCAACTGCATCAGCTGATTGTGGCTCATATTTCCCAACAGATTTTGCAGGCCTCCCTCTCCTCCGAGTGCAGAGAGTTCGTGGCCTCCACTGCCTCCACTGCCTGGTGCTCCAGGAATGGGAGGGTTGTTCAGGTACTCATTCACCTTACGACAGTACTCCTCATCCTTGTCTGTCTTTGGCTCCTGATGGAAAGGCAAAAAAAAAAAAAAGACAAATTCTTTGAAATCAGAGCCTAATGCTCCATGCATTTCTAATATAGCCTTTCTAATGTAGATGAAGAAGATTTAAAGGGCCCATGTCAAGCTTTTCCTTGTTTTCTGACTTATCTACAATGTTACAAGGGTGAATTATCATCTTAGACATTGACCTAAAGCTCAAAACATGAGGTGTACGTATGTTCTAGTATTTCTATGCAGAAGCAACTCAGTTTATACAGGTCTTGCAATCTCTCACTCGCGAGACTTTTATTCTAACAAAATAGAGTATTACATGATAGTCTAAGGATGTCCTTGAATAGTCATAATCTCAAGGCTGTTGCACGTTCATGTGAGCTTGCCTGACATACATGGTGCCATTGTAAACACGGAATTTTGACTGTGTGCAGTTTTGTGGATATATTTTACCTCCTCTTGCTGCTGCACTTAACCAGGGGAGGTGGAGAAAAATACAGGGCCTGAGGTTACTGCATGTCCGGGAATGTTCCTAAGGTGGCTAGAGAGGCTTTCCTCTTAGAGAACCTGGGTTAGTAATTTTCCGTTATTGTAATCTGATTTATGTCTGTTTAGTGACTGAACTGGTTCAGTTCTGGTGCGCCAAGTAGCAATCTGCTCACAGGTGGTCGGGGTCTCATTGTCACCAAACTAGTTGAAGTGGGGATTTTCCCCATTTAGTACACATATTGTAGACATGTTGAAAGATAGATATATGTAAAATTCATACTTGTATCCCATTATGACATATTGTATATACTGTAAAATATTAAATTCTAAAGGACAAAAAAATCTTTTTCTGCGTTTAAACCTTCACCAACTGTGGTAAGACAAGGAGAAAAAATTTTTTACAAAAACTCCAGAGTGTGTTACTACAGTGAAACTATGGACACATGAGCTTTTCTTATCTTAAACATTTTGAAGTTACTATGAGGCCATGCTCAGACAGAAGTCTCAATGCAAACAGCAGTTCAAGAGAGAGGGCCGTCCATCTGCCTGCACACAAATGTCTTGCATTCACACAGCCAAACAATTATCATTTCTTCTCCCTTTAAAATGATACAGCGCATTCTCCTCTCACCTGCATCCAAAAGAACAGCCGCTTGGATCCAGCCTTGAACTTCAGCACATAAACACGTCCAGTGGTGCACTGGTTCACCCTTTTGAATTCACAGTCATCAGGGAAGATGATCAGGTCCTGGAACAGCAAAGGCACAATATAAAGGTTAGAAGATAAAGGGGGACACACACAGTCATTGCTCTGACTAGAGCTGGCTAGTCATCTGCATTTTCATGTGTTATATTGTCATTACCAGCAATCACGGATCCAATCACCTAGACTGGAGATTTTAGATGTCATTATACCCCATTTGACTGGACAGCTGCTGTCATTAGCATATACTGTATTTTGGTTCATTTCATCAACCAATGCAGGGCTCCAAACTAACATTTCATACTGGTGGCACCACCTCTGTAATGCAGAAGAATCTGTATTTTTCACAATTACTTTAAATATCCTTACCATCCAGTGTTCATAGGCTATATGTGTAACAAAAGAGAGAGGGAGACTTATGGAAGACATTTAAAAAAGTACTTTCAGAACAAGTTTCCAGTTATGATTATTATTATATCATCATTATTATTTTTCAACAGAAATACAGTATAAACCAATGAATTGCGTGCATGCTATGGAGCACTAACCCAATGCACTAATTGTGAAAATATAAAGATTGCCTAAAGGAAAAGTTTGGTTCTGAACACATTTCTCCTTTCCTCCATACTCTCTCACAAGTGTGTCTGCCTTTCTCTCACACTCATTTCATCTAATAACACCCTAAAGTAAATAATGAATTACAAGCCTAGCTTTGACACAACAAATCACCATCAAACAACTACCAAAAAGGGAAACTGAGGCAGCAACATTACTGCAACTAAGTAAAGACAGTCACTTTGCTCCATGGAAGGACATTCAGTGTGCGCAGTGGCTATATGAAAACTGTAAGTGTAAAGACAGAATGAAGACAAACAAACTAAATGACAGACCAAGGTGATGAGTGTTGTCACTAGGGGTGTAATGAGATTTCGTGCCACAAGATCTCACAATATTAAAACGTGACATTTCTCATTGAGGCAAAAGCTGTCTGGAGCTCATGCACAGTTATAAAGTCTGAAGAGACTCCTATGAAACCATATAGGCAAGAAGCCAGTGTGGTGAGTTTGCGGCAAAACCTTTTACAGTGCTGCATATTGCCTTTTACTGCATATTCACACTCAGAGAGAAAACTGAAGTGACATTAATTACAAGATAATTGGTTAAAACATTTCAAAATGCAACTGCATTGTTTTGCATTTTGTGACAAACTATTTTTCCAGTTATATATTCTGTCATTGAAGATTATTTAGTGTTAAAATATCATCTCATCTTGTTCTCATGAACCCGGTATCATGTGTTGTCTTGTGAGCCAAGTGTATTGTCACACCCCTAGTTGCCACTGCCCTAGTTTTCTTAGGGATATTTGTGGAACGCACAACTTGTCTGAATATAGTAACAACTTTTGTCAAAATGAATTTCAATGCAGTATGATCAGACCAGCTGTCAAAGATTTTGCTGAAGAAGCCAGGGGAGAGGATGTCTCACTGCAGCATTGGCTATAGGAGCCGTACAACCTGCACTACTTATAACATCACATGAAAATAAACTATGCATGCATTTGCTGTGCACACATCACCAAGCTATGGATCCAGCTGTCAGGATTCTAATTTTAGCAAACTGAAGTTAACATTTATGGCTTATCATAAAAGATGTTTTACAGAATGCAATGTTAATGCTGGTTAACGTTATCCATTACATGCACAAATTTGTTTCCTGCTTGAGTAGAAGCTGTGTGGATTTTAATGGCTGGAAAAACTTTCTCAGGAATGAATAAGTGCCATCTAGCAATGGTGTATCCAGTTCATTAATACATCCCTGTTTCTAACACACATGCAAGAACAGTATTTCAAATTTCAACAGTCATTCCTCCCCACAGCAATCAGACTATACAACATATCACTGCAGTGATAAGCTAGGTGATATTATGAGCGACTATGCAATATTCAGCTCCTGGGTGTGAAATGCATTGTAAATAGGCTCATGTGTAATATCTTGTTCCTGATCTCTCTCAAATACTGTACATTGCCCTGCTTTAGGTATTTTTGAGTAGTTGCTCAGAGATCCTTATGGCTGAAACACAGGTTTCTCTCCCTCATTGTGGAATTGTGTGAGTAATATTCGATTGTTCTTGATTTCCTGGTTGTTTAGTCTCTACTGCTGTTCCTGATTCTCTCCAGTGCTGCTTTGCCCTGTTTTTAGGTGCCTTTGATTTGCTTATTTGTGCAGAAGGTCAAAGATGCTCTTCACCAAAGAAATGACATGAGGATGCAGATGGAGGGAGCCTTCACAGACAAAGAGGCAGCCCTCAGTGCAATGGAAAAACTGAGGACGCATTGTTCCACAGAAATCTTAAAGCTAGAAAAGTCATCAGAACGTTACATTTTACAAATGTAACGTTCTGATGACTACTGATGGCTACTTTTATAATCCTTGTGTGTATCAGTCCTAATGCTTTGTTGCCTTTATGTAACTTTTTATTTTAAGACTAAGTGTTCTTTGTTACTACATACTTACATACGCATGCACTGCGTAGAGTGGCAGCAAGTTACAGCAGCTGTGTCCTCGTTGTGTTCTTTTCCGTGTTTTTATGAAGTCCTGTTCTTATGTGTCTGTTCTCATGGTGTTATGTTGGTTGTTCTCTATTGCTGCTGTAACACAGAAATTTCCCCACTGTGGGATCAATAAAGTACCTACCTACCTACCAAATAAATTAATGAACAGTAAATATTAAGTTGAGTTTAATTTGAGCACTTTCTTTCATGAAACCAATAATAAACTCTCCACAACTCAGTGGACAAAATACAAAGTCCCAGAACCAAACTACCCTAAGAATTTTTTTAGCAAATAACAGAACTGTAAAAATAAAGCATAACTCTAGCTGTAATAATATTATAACTGAATTATACGCAAATATCTTTCAGTCTTTTTTTATTAACTAATAATTAAAAATCCAAATTTGTGGTTGATGATGAGAATGACATCTTTAGAGACTGATCATTTAAGACACTGATCTGAATCAAATGAACTAACTAAACTAGCTGCTCACAGATAAGTACTGTTTATTTGATCCACTGGTCTCTGTTCCTGTGTTTTACTGTACAAGTGTCATATCCTTCCAATCACAATTTCTGTTGGCTGCCTCAACTGCATCTGGGGGGAAAATGACTGTTATAAAAACAAACAAACAAAACAAACCAAACAAACAAAAACGCAATCATACATTCTGAACCATCAACTTGAAGCCAGCAAAAGCAGGTTTTTCTCCTTCCCATTCAGGATCAGATTCTGGTTCATATTTCCCCAATATATTGTTTGCATTTACAACTACAGCCATTATGCAAGAGAATGAATGAATGAATAAATAAATGAATGAATGCACTGGCTCAACCAGTGTTAGCTTATTGCATTCAATTCTGAACAATACTTTCAAAATTAGGTTTTATAAGACCACATGGAGAAAGAACTGTGAAAGTAACATAAGCTATTAGTTTTAAGTTTCTCACATCATCCACATTCCCAGATGTCCTGTCCTTCCAGCAGAAGTGAATCAACGAGTCATCGGACTGCTGGATGTACACCATACCCTTACGTTTATCCGGTGTCACTACGTTCCCCTTCAGGCTCATTTTACCAGCACGAAACTCTACCAGGTACTTGCTGGAGCTTCCCCTGGAACCGCTCACCAAGCTTGGAAAGAGAGCACCTGATGACATCTTTAAATGTCTGTAAACAAGCCCAAATTGTGGAAGAAAAGAAAATTGTAATTTTACATAACCACACAGCCATTTTATTGTATTTCATGGTTATTCCTGTTCTAAAAAGTAAGCCTACAAAAATAAGAAAACAAGTTAGAATATGTACTTCTGTAGAACCATTTCTATTGTACCAACCATACAAACACCACAATTTCTCCTTGACTTTGTGGACACAGACAGAAATGTACAGTAAGAAACAGCATCAACTTAACTAATGTTCATTCTGAAGCAGAGAAACTCGTGGGCAGAAGATTTTGACATTAACTCAGAGCTAGCTAGCGTTAGTTACTGTAGCTAGAAACTTAACGTTAAATGGTTCATGGTTTACCATTTTAATTTTTTTTAATCTTACAACTATCTAGTATTAACACTGTAAACACGATATTTGAGGATCACGATATTACTGTTGTCCGATCCAAAGGTTTCACGAATGTGGAACTATTAATTTATTTTACAAAGACTTTTTAAAGCGTAGCTAACAAAAGTACACTTAGCCAGCTAACTAGTTAGCTATCAATAGCTGTACAGAGTTCTGCCTGTCATTCGGGTTTTCAATGCTAACGTTAGCCCATGACTTGACTAAACCGAGGGACGAAGGCCAAAGACTTACAATTTAACTTCTCTCTAAACAAAGTCAGTCAAGCTTTTAAAAAAAACAGTCATCTTAATATAAAAGTGGCATTTAAGCAGATTTGCATTAAACGAAGTTTACAAAGTAAGTGTATTCAAATACCTGAACAAAAATGTTAGTTTGCCTTGAAGTTTAGGTCGCTGGCAAGTAACGTTGCGTTAGCTGACTTCCTGTTATGCCGTGACTGCGCACGCTGTCACTGGGAGCGAGCAGGGTAACGTCGGAGGGTTTACGGGCGACCGCTCTACCTGCATGTGATAGGATTGACAGCTCACTTCTTCCCAGTGTATCCGTTAGCTCGGTAGCTTTAATACCGGTTGTTTGAATGGTTTAGTGGCGGAAAGCAAGGCTGAACTGTGATGCGAGTATTATAGAACTCGCCTCACTCACAGAAAATAGAAGCCACGCTGCTTGGGGTTGAATAAGGTAAGTAATGCATAGAGTTAGCTAACGTTAGTGCGTCAATATTAGTCAGCTTTTTTGTCGATGGATTCGTTAGCGAGATAAATGCTAGCTGGTTTACTAAAACCAGACATGTCGCTCAGTACAGGAAAGGCTATGCACTGGTTAACCAACATGGATGCTATGTGTGTCTGTCCCTTTTATGCGGTTCCTGGAGATTATCCGCTTTAACACGGGTTGATTCCTGAACCGACCGCTGTTTTCTAGTTCGGTTGCTAGTCACGAACCGAGAGCCCTACGGTTAGTTTGTGAGGGGCGTATGTTGGATATCGGATCCCATGGCATCTTATCGATTGCTGTTAGTTTAAATGTGATTGTTGTAGTCAGTCTTGAATTAATACAAACAGGCTTTGCAGTCTGTTACCAAGTGAGGGGGCAGTGTGTTTTTGATCTCAGAGCTAATGTCCGTCTTTGGAAATGGTGGAGAGTCAAGTTTTCTTGAAAATTAAACAAAAATTAAACAGCATTTTGACAAATAGGTGATGTTAGGTTGTCTAAAGTAATCCAAATTATGTAATATAGCATTGTCAGTGGTGCAGCTCCTATTGTTGTTGTGAGCAAATCTGAAATAGCTCGAGTAGAGCTGCTGTCGTTTTCTGTGGAGTGGCAGGTGATTTTACAGACGGGTTGTGCATGTGTGTGCTGGAGTGTTTGTGGCAGAACAGGTTTTAAATATGTCACTACAAAAACATAAACAGTATGGCTTTGGGGTCTCTGGCCGGCCACGTTGGAGCTATATTATTAACTGTACTTGTAATCCTTTTAAGGAGATTGCAGCACAGTCCTCCACTGTAAGCCATGGTGATGTTTTTCTAAACTTTTCCAGACAGATTGAGCACAAAGCATAATTGTTGTTTCACATCTTTTTTTGTCATTGGACAAAAATGATTAAAATCTAATGCATTTTGTCAATTAGGAATATTAAATTGTCTTATCTGTGAAGTGTTGTTATTGGTCTGATCAGTTATGAAAAGCAATATGGCTTTGGTCTAATATTACTTTTAGTATACGAGTCTTTTTTTCCTGGGAGCCTTTCACTTAGCAGCTAAGTGCTAGTAGTTGAATTGGGCTAAGTCTTAGGGGTGTAATAAAAAAAAAAAAAAAAAAACTTAAAATAAAGTTAATATCCTCAAGAATGCAAATACAGTTCAGTCCTTTGGAAACTGCAAATCAGTTTGTCTATTTTAGGTTCCATGAGCAGCATTTTGAGTAAGGTGAACATTCAGTAATAAATAGAGGATGCTGTCTTTTGTGTGTGCGTGAGCTCTAGTGCAAGTGGTCATCACTGACTCATGCTGTCAAATCAGGTTATACCAGTAATACGTCAAAGAGCAAGATTATCACTGCTCTCACTATAGTTGCACAGAGGTAAAGTCACTAAGAAAACAGGATGCGACATTTTAATTTGTCATTTGTTTTTAATTTGTTTAATCAAATAAATGTTAAAATAGAGCAAGTATCCATCACAGTTCCACAGAGCCCATTAGGATGTCTACAGTGATGTAAAATGAGGAAAAAAGGAGCCAGTCTTCACATTTGTGAAGCTGGTACAAAGGACGTTTTTGGTTGTAAAATGACTGTCAGTTATCATTTTAGTTAAATCTAGTGTGAGGAAAGTTTTTATTTTGAAAAGAGAAGACTAATAGTCAAGATGCAGTATACTGCTTTTCTTAAATGTGACCAATTATTATGCTCATGAGTGCATGTTATATAATAAAAATATAGAAATATAAGTATATGCTATATAAGGAAAATATAAAATGAAAAAAATGAAAATTCTGACCTCGTCCAGTTTTACCCTCCTCTTACACCTGAAAAGGTGTTGTTAAACTAGAAAAAAATATCCTCTACTTGTCAACTGTGGTGGCATGGTGTCTACACCTGGCCTTAACTTACGGTCACCACATAGCCACCACAAATCAGCCCTAGAGGTGCTATGCTGAAGAAACTCACTAGATGCATAGCCCTCATTATGCCTGATGATATTTAAGTCTTCTGAGCAATAACTTTTAGGCAACATTCCTACATTTACTCCTCTTCCAGTTCTAGTGAAACAGGAATAATTTCCAGGATAGACTACCACTGATGGGGGGATGTCAGGTCTTTGGACTGGCGGAAGGAGAAAATACAGAGTTCTACATTTTTCTTCAATAGGGACTGTTGCACTTCCAAACAATTTCACTGTACATCTAAGGCCCTCAGGATCATTTTGATTATTTAATTTGAAGGGGGCAGTACCTAAAGTTGGTCTAGCCTTAGCACAAGCTACACAATCAATACTATTAGTATTGTCCGCAAGCATAACAAATCCCTTGCCATCTTGTTTTTGATCCATCTCTACCTCTGCAACTGTGCCATTGCTGGTAAAAATGAAAATCACCCTAACAATAGGTGGGTTATTAGTTTGTTAACCATTGTGGATAATAGAGTTGGGGATGTATGTTTTTCTGAACAATATTCTGAAGGTCCTAAAAATAGAAACTTGCTTCTCTTCTGTGTTTAACTGTATAGTTTTTGATTAGGACTGGACCAAAATGTTCAACTCTTTGGATTTCAGACAAAACAGGCAATTTGAAGTTTGACCTGGACACTTGTAACAGACTTCTTTTTCCACATTTGACACTTGACAGATGTAAACAGTTCATTTATTTATCCTACTATTTGGACTATTTGGCAGACTATTAAAAATCGAGTACCAAAGTTTTCTTGTTAATTTAGTGGTGAAAGAAAAAGTCTAGTAAATTTTACTTGTCATTGAAATAGTTTGTTTTAGGATTTCTCGAATAGTATCATGTTGATTTTGTTTCAAGCACTGATATTTATTAAAAACCAGCCCACATAAACAGGAAACAGATTTAAGTTTGATGTAATTGAAGGTTTCCCTTATGTAGAGCTGCTGCTTGGTCACACTGACAGCCAGTTGAGATAAAAACAAGGCTAAATCACACTTTAAACTACATGCAGAGACCCAAGAAAGGCATGCATATGTTTGTCTCACTGTAAGAAAACAGTAAAACTACCTCTGTAGTGTGCCATCTACCGTCAATATCAGCCTTGCAATCAGAGAAACCACTGATCGTCTGAATGATCGTTTGAATGTGAAATGGTGGCTGCTGATAGTCTTGGGTCACGAGTCTTGTCATGACTGTTTCCTCTAGACAGGATGGTGTGATTGCAAGTCACATGATGAGACTGTCACTTTCTCTTCTCCTGCAACATCACACTTTCTGCTTCCTTCTTTCTCACTCTGAACCAGTCCCTTCTTTCTTTCTGTCATGCCATGTTTCTCTTTGACCCAACTGTCTTCCCTTGTCTGCCTGTCTCACTCCACCTTCATCCATCTGACTCCTCCACCCTGCTTTCACCGTCATTCCTTTCCTTCCTTGCAAAGCTTTGACAGTGATTTGACACACAGTTGGGTTCATAAATATTGAAACAATGATAGGTGTGTTTTTTTTACCATTTGGCCTCTGTACACCACCACATTGAATTTGTAATGATACACTCAAGATGTGACCAAGGCAATACTTTCAGCTTTAATTCAATGGTGTTGACACAGGTGTGGCATTAGCCATTCAGGAATTACAGCCATTTTCATACACACCCACTCCCATTTTTGGTGACTCAAATAATGGAACAAACTAACAATTACAAACATAAGGACTGCCTTTAATACTTGGATGCAGTCAATGACTGCCTGAAGTCTGGAACCCATGGACATGACCAAATGCTGGGTTTCCCTCTCGAGATTCTGTGCCAGGCCTTTACTGCAGCTGCTGCATGTTTGTGGGTCTTTCTGCCTTCAGCTTTGTCTTCACCAAGTGAAAAGCATTCTCTATTGGTTTGATATCAGGTGACTGACTTGGCCAGTGAAGAATATCCTGTTTTTGTTTTGTTTTTTTGCCTTAAGAAACTCTTGGGTAGCTTTTGCTGTATGTTTTGGGTCATTATCCATCTGCACTATGAAGCAGCATCTGGCTGAATCTGAGCAGAGACTATAGCCTTCTGCACTTCAGAATTCATCCTGATATGCCCATGCCATAACACTGCCTGAAGTCTGGAACCCATGGACATGACCAAATGCTGGGTTTCCCTCTCGAGATTCTGTGCCAGGCCTTTACTGCAGCTGCTGCATGTTTGTGGGTCTTTCTGCCTTCAGCTTTGTCTTCACCAAGTGAAAAGCATTCTCTATTGGTTTGATATCAGGTGACTGACTTGGCCAGTGAAGAATATCCTGTTTTTGTTTTGTTTTTTTGCCTTAAGAAACTCTTGGGTAGCTTTTGCTGTATGTTTTGGGTCATTATCCATCTGCACTATGAAGCAGCATCTGGCTGAATCTGAGCAGAGACTATAGCCTTCTGCACTTCAGAATTCATCCTGATATGCCCATGCCATAACACTGTGTTGGTCTTTGGTTCTTGTTACCATTGCTAACTCTGAGAGACGAGACAGTCCAAGTAACTTCAAAACAGTGCTGATTTATTCAAAGGATCACAGGTAAAATTAACATTACACGCTCAGGCATCTTGCACCTCCAAACTGCTCGCAGGCAGATGTAAGATGAAAGCCCCTGAACCCACCAGGCCTAGCCATTATATCCCTTCGGTTGGGCTAGCCCCATACTACACAGAAACGTCAACCGAGACGTCTTTGTTGCCAGCTTTGCAGCTGGCCATAACAGTAGTCAAAACATGAAGCAAATCAACGTGTGAATGTGTGTGTCTGTTGATTAAGTGGTGTGTAGCTAAAAACATTCTCACACGACCTCTAGTAACATGTCGTGACTTAAACATAAGAACATATTATGGCTAAGACTACAGTTATACACGTCATAATAATAATAATATTAAACACCCTGTCTGCTGACAATCATCAACTCTTCTCTCTAGTTATCCTTGACCAGATGTACCCTGTAGAAACTCATAAGCATGACTAAGCATTTAACAGTCTAACTAGACATCCTA